TCCCCCTTCTCCGAGCAGATTAGATAAAATAAAAAAAAAAAATAGTTTTTTCTTCATTGTGTTTACTTGTCTAGGGGTGCGCGTTATTGAAGTGTAGGAGGAGGTATAAGTTCACGCGGATGCGAATATAAATAAAGTACAAAATAACACTCACTTTTCTTGCGCACTTTTTAAGATGTTTGACACACGCTCACACACACACACACGCACACTCACACACACACACACACACACACACACACACACACACACACACACACACACACACACACACACACACACACACACACACACACACACAGAGTCGTTGGCCAATCTGAACATTGCTGAAGAGGAAGAGGTTGAGGTAAGTGCATGAAAGTTGTTATGGCCCAGCACGTGTCGGTGTGCATTATTGCGTTCGTGTGTGGTAAAACGTAGGTCTCGTGTCGCTTTCAAGGGACTGACATGCACGTCCGTCTCGCCTGTAGGACACAACGGAGGCGGTGGTGAAGGAGCCCAAGCCCTTTGGGTTTGGGGACGAGCCCCCGCCCATGTCGGTGCAAACCCTCGACATGCTCAAGCTCACGGCCCTCTACGTCGCAAAGAACGGCAACCAGTTCCTCCAGGAGCTCATGCAGGTGCGTGGTTATGCGTGCGTGTGTGTGTGTGTGTGTGTGCAGATGCATATGCGTGTGCGGGTGTGTGCGTGTGTTTGTGTGCGTGTGTGCGTGTGTGTTTGTGTGTTTGTGTGTTTGTGTTTGTGTTTGTGTGCGTGTTTGTCCATGCCACGATGGCACACGAATGCCACAATGGCATGCACGCATGCCCACAGCCGTCATATTCCTCATCTGTCAAACACTCATCTCTGTTCCACCACGTGCACGCAATGCAATACACAACACCAGCGGGAGGCACGCAACTACCAGTTTGACTTTTTGCGGCCAAACCACTCCCTCTACAACTACTTCACCAAGCTCACCGACCAGTACAGACAGGTGCGTGCGCGTGTGCTTGCATGTGTTGTGTGTTTGATGTATACGACGCAGTGGGGGTGATTGTGTGTGTGTGTGTGTATGTGTGTTGTGTGTGTATCCAAGCAATGTGTGAGCCATCTCTTCCATTTGCCTTTTCGCTTGTTGCAATGCGTTACCCGTTGTCCGTCTCCCCTGTCCTCCACCCACCACCTTCATTGCAACCGCACAATTCACGCGCAACACGCACACAATGTCGCGCCTGCTGCTGTCGACAGGTGCTGATGCCGAAACGTGAGATGCTGTCGTCGCTCGCGGACTATGCCAACGGGTTCAGCGCGCCCCTCAAGCGCATGCAGCACGTGGCCGCCTGGGGCAAGAAGCTTGCACAGGAGCAACAGCAGCGCGCAGACGAGGAGGAGGCAGAGCGAAGTGCGTCATGCTGTTGCTGATGGTGGACGGTGGTGGTGGACGTGATGGGCGTCTAGCGTGGTTGCAGCGTTGTTTGTGTTGGCATTCCACCTGATGTGCTCCCGGCTTGTTTCACAGCACTCACGTTGTATTTTGCACATGGGTTTGCACATGTGTGTGTGTGTGTGCAGTTGCGCGGGCGCAGATTGACTGGCATGACTTTGTCGTTGTTGCCACCATTGAGTTTGGGCCTCAAGACTCTGGTATGCACGAACATGCACTCGTTCATCTGTCGACTTGGGTTGTGTACTGTCCATCGTCCGTCTACATTGACCACGGACTGCCACAACCACATCATCATCATGGCCTCATGTTGCCTGATCGTGCCTCTCACCCTCCCCCCCCCCTCTGCGCGCCCTTCAGACCTCCCGCCGCCCGTGGATCCCGAGGAGCTTGGCGTGCGGGTGATTGAGATGGAGCAGGCCGAGCAGCAGCTGAAGGAGAAGTTGGAGCAGCAGCCGCGCGCACGCACCGCCCCGCAGCAGGAGGACGCGAAGGAGCACAAGGAGGAGAAGGTACGGGGTATTGGTGATGGACACGCTGGCGGTGCTGGGGTCGCGTGTAGGTGTGTAGATGTGTGTGGATGTGCGTGTGTGTGTGGATGTGTGGATGTGTGGATTTGTGGATGTATGGATTTGTGGATGTGTGTGTGTGTGTGGGCGTGTGGATGTGTGTGTGTGTGTAGTTGTGTGCTCTTAACCGGCCAAGCGTTCTTCCTTTCCCATCTCCGTGTTTCACCAATGCACCCTCCTTCTGCCCCCCCCCTTCAGGCGATGGATGTTGGTGGTGAGGGTGGCGAGGAAGTTGCCATGGAGGTTGAGGAGGAGACAGCGGCGGCAGAGGAGCCAGCAGCACCTCCGCCAACCACGACAACCGCCGCCGCCGCCGCGGCTGGCGGTGGTGACGAGATCAAGATCAGGTTTGTGCGTACGTGCGTGTGCATGCGTGTGTGCGTGTGTGTGTGCGTGCGTGTTTGCATGCATGCGTGCGTGCGTGCATGCGTGTGTGCGTGTATGTGTGTGTGTACATGCGTGTGTGCGGGCGTGCGTGTTTGTGTATGTGTGTGCGCGTGTTTCTGTATGTGTGTGTATCTTATTGTGCCACGACGTTTGTTTCCTGCGTCTCGTTCTCCTCCTCACCACAACCACCACCATCACGACCACTCGTGCTGCCATTGCATGCATCAGGGAGTATGATCCAAAGAGCAAGACGCGGCCCGCGGCAGCAGCGGCCGCCGGCAAGGAGGAGATGCTTGTCTCTCCGCTCACCGGTCAGTTCCATACAAATCAACATCACCTCTTTGTTTGGTGGTCATCGTGTGTGTGTGTGTGTGTGTGTGCGTGTGTGTGTGTGTGCGTGCAGAGCCACGCCGCAAAAAGCTTGACCCTTCGTTGCAAGCGTTAATCATCGCCGTCTCGGATATGTCTTTACGTCGGGGGACTCTGGGTCATAATTTAGGTGTCGCTATCGTGCACATTTATTAAGTTGCGCACGGGCGGGCCCGGGGCGGCCCCCTCCCGTGGAAATCTCTAGAGATCCCTGGAAATCCATAGGAGGTTCAGCTTATGCCTATCATCTAGTAGCGTTAGGGTATGTTCCAGAAGGACTTGGGGATATGAGAGCCGTACAGGTGGCATGAGAGCGGAGGTTATCCATACCATTTCCAGATGTTAAGGAAATTATCCTACACGTACATGTGCATGTGTGTGTGTGTGTGCATGTGTGTGTGTGTGTGTGTGTGTGTGTGTGTGTGTGTGTGTGTGTGTGTGTGTGTGTGTAGTCTTGTGTGAATTAGAGTGACCCCCCTCCTTCTTTTCCCCCGACATGCACGGGTTGCTTTCCATTCGGCAGCCAGTTTGCTGCTGCTAACACGTTACGATGATCATGACCACCACCGCCATCGCGACTGTAGGCGAGCTCATTCCCGCGTCGAAGATGCAGGAGCACATGCGCATCAGTCTCCTCGATCCAAAGTGGCGCGAGGAGAAGGAGAGGTACGACGCTCGCATTCGTCCTCGTGATTGTACACGTTTCAAAGATGGTTCGCAGTACACCACTGCGCCACTGCACCACACAGCCTTCCTGTTGGCACAGATCACCGCTCCTCGTTGACCTGTGTGACGCGTGCTTGCCAACACACTCCCTCACACTCCAACACACTCCCTCGCATTCACTCACACTCCCCACGTGTGTGCTGTGCGCCCCTTGCAGGCAGGAGCGTGAGGCTGCGAAGCGGAAGGAGGATTGGATCCGCAGCGGGCAGCAGACGATGGACCATCTAAAGGACATTGCTGCCCGCCGTACAGATATCTTCGGCTCTGGTGACATCGAAACAGAGATTGGCGAGAAGGTACACATGCTACACGCGCGCAACACATTCGCATCCAGCGTGTTGTTGTTGGTTTCTGGCAGACCTGTGGATGCCGTAATGGGTGTGTGTCCTTTGCTTGTGCCTGTGTCTTTCCACTCTCTGTTTTGGCCTTCTTAGTCCCCCCTTGTGTGTGCTGGTGGTTGCATTTCCGGCCCTTGTGCACCCACCGTCTTCTTCGTTTGTTCGCTGACCCCACTTGTGTGGCGTACAGATTGGCGCGGAGGGAGCAGCAGAGACAGGCCCGCAGCAGAAGCCAGCGACCACCACAACCACCACCACCACAACCACCACGACCAAAGCAACAACGTACCGTACACCGTTTGCACACGTTGATGGCACATTATTGCATGTTGCAGCTGCTCATGTGCGCGCTTTGGCTGTCGCTCACAGACTCACTGCATGTGCCACTCCTGTCATTGCACACATCATTGTACAACCGTCTGTCTGTTGTGTCTGTTGTGTGTGTTGTGTGGTGGTGTGTTGTGTGATGGTGTGTGTGTGTGTGTGCGTGTGCGTGCGTGTGTTGTGCTGCTGTCTGTGCTGCCTTGCAGCAACACCAGGCCTGCGCCTCCGCCCATCTCAAAGCCGCCAGCATCCACTGCCCCGCCCGCAGCCAAGTGAGCCCGAGTAGTCGTCGTCGTTGGTTGCTTGAGTCGTTGTGGTTGTAGTTGTTGTGGTTGTCGGTGTTGTTGCTGGTGTTGTTGTGGTTGTGGTTGTGGTTGTAGTTGTAGTTGTCGTTTGCGGCATGTCATGTCGCGTGCTAGCAACGAAACGTTCCATGATCACTCTGACATGCCCAACCACCACCACCACCACCAGGCCTGCTGTCCCCGCCACGTCCGCTCCCTCGACCAGCACCGCTGCTGCGCCCCCGGCATCGCGGCGGCCACCGCCTCCGTCCACCACCGCTGCACCGCCGCCGCCGCGACCAGGGATGCCGCCAATGGGGGGTATGCCCCCTCGGCCGCGCATGCCCTTCCCCATGGGCCCGCCGCGTACCCGGCCCATGTACCCGCACCACCCGATGGGTCGCCCCGGGTTCCGCCCGCCCCCGCCGTTTGGGTTCCGCCCGCCCCCGCCAATGGGGCCAGGCATGCACAGGCCTCCCATGCAGCAGCAGCCGCAGCACCAGCTCGTGCAGCAGGCACAGCAGCTGGCAGCAGCCCAGGTGTGGCCAATGACCTTTCTGTGTGTATGTGTATGTGTGTGTATGTGTATGCGTGTGTGTGTGTGCGCGCGTGTGTGTGTTTTGCCCGTTTGGGTGATTCATTGAGCTCTTTCCATATCCTTGCACGCGCCTGCATATTGCTTCCGCGTACCTCATGCCTCGTGTGCTGTGCCTCATGTGTGGTGTGCAGGGTGGGCCGCCCACGAAGCGCAGCAAGACTGACGAGATGGTCAGCGCCCTCAAGCCCGAAGACCAGTTCCTCAAGGACCACTCGGTACACTTTCCTGTCATCCATACAATATGTTTTGAGTGTGTCGTGTGCGTGTGTTGTGTGTTGTGTGTGTGTTGTGTGTGTTGTGTGTGTGTTGTGTGTTGTGTGTTGTGTGTGTTGTGTGTGTTGTGTGTTGTGTGTGTCGTGCATGCGCTCTTGCAACTTCTGTGTTTGTTGTGCAAATGGTGCATGCCGAACACCTGGTCTCAGCCGCATGTCAGCTTGCGTTTCAGTTGCTGCTCACACACCATGTACTCCATGCCCACGTTGTGTTTTCATCCCCACCTGTGTGCGCAGGGCGATGTGACGGTGAATGCGACGGTTGGTGTGGATGACGAGGCCTTCAGCCTCACCTCCGGCACCCAAGTCCACGTCACCCTCCCTTACACCGCCAAGGTCCGTGTGTGTGTGTGTGTGTGTGTGTGTGTGTGTGTGTGTGTGTGTGTGTGTGTGTGTGTGTGTGTGTGTGTGTGTGTGTGTATGCTGATTGGCGTGGAGCCATGGCATTGCTCTGCGCTGTTTTTGTCTGCTTTAATTCTTTGCTTTCATCCAACATCACCATCTCACGTCCCACTGTTGCTGTCTGTTTTCTTGTTCTCTGGTTATGGTGCGTGTCTGCCAGGTGTCTGAGCTCAAAGCCAAGCTGCAAGGTTCGCTGAACCTTCCCGCCAACAAGCAGAAGCTGCTGCTGAATGGCGTTGCCCTGGCCAACTCCAAGACCCTCGCCTTTTACAACATCACCGCCGAGTCGAACGTGCGTGCGTGCGTGCGTGTGTTTGTGTGTGCGCGTGCGTGCGTGTGTGCGTGTGTGCGTATGCTTCCGCATGTTTGTTATTTTTGTGCGTTTGCATCACTTTGATCTTCCACCCTCACCCCCTCCCCACCCTACACATTCACACAGGTTGAGGTTGGGCTCAAGACGCGTGGTGGCAAGCGGTAAAGGCACAATTCTCAAGGGCTAGGCAACTCCCGAAACACACACACACACACACACACACACACACACACACACACACACACACACACACACACACACACACACACACACACACACACACACACACACACACACACACACACACACACACGCGCACACACACACATCAAGCACACATCAAGCAAGCACACCAAGCACCAAGCACCAAGCACCACAAACGACCCTCCTGGCAACGCGTGGTGTTGCTGATTGCGTCTGTTGTGTGTCGCAACGCGACCCCGCCAGCTGTCATGTTTGACAGGGCCAGTTGGACCTTGAACAATTTTGTTGGAGTTTGGCCACCCTAAATTTTCGGGATCTCGACGATTTGTTTAAATCTCCCGCAAGCTTTCGTCTTGCCGCGTTGGCGCTTGGTTGGACCGACTCAAAGTTAACGCCCCTTCCCTTCCTGCCTTCAGGCGAAAAAACAAACACGCACGCTCAGCAAGCCAGTGGAGTGCACGCACAACAAGCAAGCAAGTCAGCATCACGCCACGCTCCCTCTGCTTTTCATTTTCCCCTTGCTGTTTCCTTCCCTCTCGTGCACGCACCTCTCCTTTGTTGTCTCCCTCTCTTCCCCAAACAACAACAACCCACCTTCCAAGATGAACGCCCTTGACTTCCTCTCCCCTGGCTTCCAGCAGCCCCTCCTCGGTTGCTTCGGTAACCCCATGGAGTGCCTCTTCACCTGGTGCTGCGCCGGTGCCGTGCTTGCCAGCTCCCGCACACACGTCGATGGCCGCGAGTGCGGTATCCTCGACTGCTGCTGCACCGCATCCCCCTTCCACGTCCGCGCGGTACGTGCGTGCAATCCACACAAGCAAGCACAGCAGCCACAGCACAAACGGCTGCAGCTGGCTGGTGTGTGTGTGAGAGAGAGAGAGGTGTGAGAGAGAGAGAGAGAGAGAGAGAGAGAGAGAGAGAGAGAGAGAGAGAGAGAGAGAGAGAGAGAGAGCGGCGGCAACGGGTGTGCTGATCCTGAATGCGCGTGCATGTGTGGATGCGTGGATGTGTGGATGCGTGGATGTGTGGATGCATGATCAGCAACACGCATCAGCGAGAAAGCACGCCACCACAAGCAATCTCGTAGCGACGGAACACAAAGCCAACTCATGCTCGCTCACGCTGAGTTGTCATTGACGATTGTTCTCACCTCGCCTGCCCTTGTTTGCCCCACCACCATGCTGCTGCCACAACCCTTTTGTAGGCTGTGCGTGCCAAGAACGGCGTCGAGCCCAACAAGGTCATGGACTGCCTGGCCATCTGCCTGTGCCCTGCCTGCTCCATCTGGCAGGCCGCCAAGGAGGGTGGTGCCCCCATCATCCCCGAGAGTGAGTCTCCCGTGCCCTTCTTGCCTCGTTCTAGCTTGCCCTTGTTTCACCAGCGTGTGCATGCACTCTTTGTTGCTGCATTGCCGAGGATTTGTGTTGCGTTTTCCCTCGGATCACCGCAATGTCTCTCTCTCTCTCTCATTTGTCGTCGCATCACCACCACCACCAATCAACTGGCCGCTCACGTTGTTGTGCTTCCCTTGTCTCTACCACCGACTTGTTACCGTGCACACTTTACAGAGGCTGCCTTCACCCGCCTGTAAGCGGAAACACCAACCATCAACAACACCATCAACGACACCAACATCCTTTTTGTTTGCTGGTGATTCAGTGCGATGGAGGAGAGCTTAGTCGCCTCTCCCATCCCCTGTTTTGCCTCACCTCTTCCCTCTCTCCCCAACAATCAAGCAACAATACTTGTTCATGTCGTCCTTCTTGCGGGCAAGTGCTTTGGTTTCCTATCCCACACACCAACAACAATTCTTTGTCAATTCCTTTCTTGTCTCTTCATCATCTTGTTTTGCCTTCCCTGACTGCGTGTGCTGTTCATCCACGGGGAAGAGCTTTCTGGTGTTTACAGCAGAGAGTAAAAAAACGCCTTACAAGACCTCATCTTTGTTGCAAGGAAGAAGGAGTCGTTGTGGAAGACAACTTGGTGTGTGTGTGTTGTAGGTGAGGTGTGTTGTGTGTGTTGTGTTTGCACGCTTCGCAACGGGTGTGATGTGTGACATCATCTCGACCCAATGGTGTGTCAGAAGGAGGAGTGTAATGCGAATAGACCAAACACAGTTCGCAAGTCGCAAAGAAAACAAAAGATCAATCAACATGGGGAGGCGAAGGAAGCCAGGAACAGTGTGTGTGCGTGCGTGTGCGTGGCCCAGCCACAGCATGTACGCGAGCTTGCAGGGTAACAACATGTCATCACAACCCGACAGCCATAACAGAGCGTGATCTGCGAACAGGCAAGGCAGTGTTTCCAGGCCAGGGGCGATGAAGGAGAAGAGGACATCAAGTAGAAACAACACAGCACAGACGAGGCAGACAACATGGCACAAGACAAAACAGAACACGTGACGTGACATGACAAAGCGCAATGCTTCACAACACAACACAACACAGCACAACACAACACAACACAACACAACACAACACAACACAACACAATACAACACAACACAACGACACCACAACACTACACAACACAGGAAAGCACGTCACGATGGGTTGATGCGGGCCTGGCAGCGCTTGATGGCGGAGACGATGCTGGGGCTTGGCCGACCGCTGAGTGCCAGGAATCCGTCTGCCGCCTCCCTGTACAGCTCCAACGCCTCCTGGTGTCGGCCCATCACCTCCATTGTCACTGCGCGCGAGTGCACGGCCTCCAGGGTGATCTTGTCGTGTGCGCCCCACGCCGCATCGGCAATGTCCTGCGCCTCCTGCGCCGCCTTGAGCGCATCGTCAAACTTGCTCAGGTACCGCTGCGAGAGCGAGATGTTGAGCAGCGTCGTGCAGACCTTCTTCGGGTCCCGCTTCCCCGTCGTGCGGAACACGCCCAGCGCGCGCGTGTAGTAGTCCAGCGCCTCTGCATGCTTGTCCATGGCCGCGCACGTGTTGGCGAGGTTGCCCCACACCGCAGCCAGTCGCACGTCCTCAGAGTCCTCCGTCAGGTTGTGCATGTTGTAGACGACGAGCACACGCTCCAGGTCCTGCTTCGCCTCTGAGAACTCGTTCCTGTCGAGGTGAATGTTGCTGCGGAGGAGGAAGAGTGCGCTCACTTCCATGCGACACGGCTCAAAGGACGCATCGTGGCGCACGCTCGCCGGGTCCACGTAGCTGCGGGTGTACGCCTTGCACACGTCAAGCGCTTTCTTCGTCTGCTTGTTCTTGTACAGCACGCCAGCCACCTTCGCAGCCATGCTCAGCGTGTACGGGTGCGTCGCACCAAGCACGCGCTCCTGGTGTATGTGGCGTGGGGGGGGGGAGGGGTTGTTGTTGTTGGTGGTGGTGGTGGTGGAAGAGGCGACAGAAGAAGTAGCACATGTCTTAGCGAGTCAAAAGAACGGAAAGCATACACTAGCACACACATACACACTAGCACACACATACTAACACACACATACACACACTAGCACAGACAACACACACACACACACACACCTGGACTTTGAGGCTCTGGTTGAAGAGGTCGAGGGCGAGCTCCTTGTCGTCCATGCGATCAACAAATGAGGCGATGGCGGCCGACTGGTCCAGCACGCGCTTGAGCTTCTTCCCCTTGAGCTGTGGAATCGTCGCCATCAGCACCCGATATGCAGCCGTGCACGCGTCCTTCTTCTGCCGATCGCTGAGCGCGCCCCACATGCGCTTGATGTACGCCGACCCCGCCGTCTCCGACGACGCCACCAGGTGCAGCAGGAAGCGCGGCTCTCCCAGCGCCGCCGCCACTTGCTCTCGTGACGCGTGCTCCTGCAGCAGATGCGACAGCTCCAGCGACAGGTGTGTGGTCGTGCCACCCTCGCCGACGAGCTTGCCAAACGTGGCAATGAGCGTGTCCACGACCGTGCGCACGTGCGCGGCGCTGTAGCGAGCGCGGACAAGGGCGGCAAAGTGGGGACTGGTGAAGGCGTTGAAGTGGTGGATGGAGTGATACTGCACGAGTGGACTCAGGGCCTCACGCAGCAGCAGCCACTCGCGCATCGCAGAGGCGACTGGTTTTGGAAAAGGTGTGGAGGGAGGAACGGGGTGTAGATAGATAGAGGATGGGGGATGGGTGAGTTCATGGGTGAGTGCATGGGGTGACATGGAACTGCAAGGAGTTGAATGGCGTGCGTGCAGCAATGCGGCAAACGCAACCGAATTACGCTGCCGCAAACACACGAAACAGGTTGCAACACACACACACACACATACACACACACACACGCACACACACACACACGCACACACACACACACACACACACACACACACACACACACACACACACACGCACGTGCATCACATTCCAAACAAGCACAAGCCCGACCACCGCGCAATGGTGCGGACTGACCGCCGATGGAGCGGAGCATGGTGGCGAGTTCGACGTCGGTGCAGCCCTCCTGGCAGATGCACAGCGCAAGGACACACATGCGCACAACCTCGACAGAATGTCGCTTCTCCAGCACGTCGATAAACGCGCTCACAGCCAGCTCTGCACCGGGCACGGAGACGGGCGGGTCGTGCTCGTGTGTCCACGTGCACGCAATCATCCCCAGCATGGCCAGCAGCAGCGGGGTGACGTGTGACGCGGGCAGACAGCTCAGCAGGCCGGCCAGCTGCTGCTTGGAGACAGTGCGGCGACGGAGGCTGAGGTGGCTCTGCAGTGCGCTCTTGAACGCGTCCTTGGTTGGGAGGGCGAGCGGCCGGAACATGGCTTCGGGTATCTTCGTTCGCAGGGGCTTCACCTCCGCGTCGTTTGTGAGGACGATCATGCGAACGGACCCGGGCAGCACCGGGGGCAGCCACTGCAGCAGGGAGAGCGGGCGCCCTGCCGTTGTCTCCAGCGACGCCGGGTCAGCGTCCATGATGATGACGACGGGCAAGTATGGCGACGCAAGCCGCATGACACTCGACCACCGCCGCACGAGGTCGGCCTCCTCGGACGGCTGCTGCTTCATGTCGCCGTCATACACCATGCACAGGTGCCGGTTCAGGTCGTGCAGGAACGACTGCAGGTTGCTCGCCCGCGGGGTGAGACCTGCGAACCGCGGCATGATGACGCGCTCCGTGTGGCTCTTGGTCGGCAGGTCCGCAGCCAGCGCCGCCATCTGCACCGCTGCTGTTGTCCGGCCGCCGCCCAGTGGCGCGTGGATCACCAGCGGTGGTGCCGGCTTTTCCAGCAAGATGTACTGCTTGACGACGGGCTCTGGGTACAGCCGCGGCAGCTGCTGCGCTGACGGCGCCATGCTGGTGCTGAAGGCGAGGTGGTCCTGCATCTCCAGCACCAGCGCCGAGTCTGGCTCAGCGAGCGTGCCGAGCCGCCCGACAATTGCCTGCGCAAGGCACGCCACGTAGCTCTTGCACACGGCCAGGCAGTACTGTTCCGAGTCGTAGGTGGTGGCCTCCAGCCCAAACGGCATGTCGACAGGGCGCTCCCATGTCGCGGTCTGCAGCACGGGGGCAGCGGCGTGCATGGCGGTGTCGCTGTCGGCGAGGGCGGGGAAGGAGGACTGCTCCATGGTTGCGCGCACGTTGGTCATCTGCAGGTGCACGATGCACTCTGGCTTGAGCAGGCTGTTGGCCAGCGACACTTCCTGCTCCTCCAAGCACTTGAGTTGCGACGATATCAGTGATGCCTGCAGGCACTCCAGCACTTCCTGGCGCTCCTCTGTTTTGTGTTGGAGGAGGAGGGGGATGTATGAGAGGGTGTGTGAGTGAGAGTGAGTGAGTGAGTGAGTGAGTGAGTGAGTGTGTGTGTGTGGGGAGGGGGATGAGTGTAAATGAGAGAGTGAGTTGGGGGGAGGGGGATGAGTGTAAATGAGAGAGTGAGTGTGTGTGTGAGTGTGTGTGTGAGTGTGAGTGAGTGAGTGAGTGTGTGTGTGTGTGTGTGTGTGTGTGTGTGTGTGAGTGAGTGTGTGAGTGTGTGAGTGAGTGAGTGAGTGAGTGAGTGAGTGGGTGAGTGAGTGAGTGTGTGTGTGCGAGCAGCAGGTGATGTACCGTTGCTGAGAGGTGACGTGAGCCAGAGGGTGTGCGGTTCGCTGGAGGGGCAGTTGTTGTTTCGCTTGTAATACTTGTTCATCAGCTCTGGTGACGTAGGGGACGGCGAAGGTGGAAGGTGGTGAGTGATGAAGACCGCAAAGACAGACAGACAGACAGACAGACAGACACACGTGCGCACGCATTTACCTGTGTCGTCGATGCGGGACTGGTCCTTCTTGGTGAGGGAGGACGGGATCACGACGCTGCCCATTGCATCAGGGGCTGAGCTGAGCCGCACGAAGATCGGCAGGATCTCATCCGACGCCATTGACCGGATAAACTTGAGGTGCAGCGCCTCCATCTCCTCCGTCGTGATTGGCTGTTGGCCCAGACCCTCGTGCCTGTGCATGCGTGTGCGTGTGTATGTGTGTGGATGTGAGCGAGTGAGTGAGTGTGCGCGCGATGTGTTTGAGAGAGTGTGCGTGAGTGAGTGAGTGAGTGTACGCGCGATTTGTTTGAGAGAGAATGTGTGCGTGCGCGCGATTTGTTTGTGTGTTGATGTGAGTGAGTACAAGCAAAGATAACAAAGCGCGAGCGAGCGTTTGGCGTGGAAAGTCATGTGGGTAAACAGGGCACGGCACGGAGGCCCAACACAACATGCACTCACAGGTCGATGAGGTCGGCGGGCAGGTCAAACTGATTGAGAGACCATTCCCGAAGGAAGACGTGAGCATGCTCGCGGATCGTCTTCACTTCCAGCGCAGCACACTCCTCGGAGTAGCACAGGTACACGCACACGCGACGTGGCTGGTGGATATCCTCGGGGAGGGCGCGGCCGCGGATGACGCGACTCCTGCGCAGCGCGGCCTTTTGTGGATTCACCTCGGGCGAGGCCGGCGCATTCGGCAGCTTCATGGTCCGCAATGCCTTGATCAGGGAGCTCTCATCGTGCTCCTCCACTGCCATCATGAGCATTGTGACAGGCGATTTTTGAGGTCGGGAAGGGAAGGAGGGGGGGGGGGGGGTTGCGAGCAGTGTGCGATAGTACGTGTGTGTATATGTGTATGTGTGTATGCGTGTATGTGTGTGTGTGTGTGTGTATCGGAAGAAGTGTGTCGAATGAATGCTTCAGGCAGACACACACAAGGACACGCATAGGTTGTTGTGCTTACGTGCTGATGCGTGGTTTGCTGTGGCGCCGTTTGTGTCTTCATCGTCCTTCTTCGGAGCGCTGCTAGAAGGGGCCTTGGATGGCTTCGACGCAGCCTTTCCCATCCTCCTGATGAGCGAGCGAGCGAGTGTGAGCGAGCGCGTGTCCGTGCGTGCGTTGGTGGGTGGGTGTAAGGTTGTTGTGTTGTGCGCGTTGTTGTGTTTGTTTGTTTGGGTGTTGTTGTTGTTTCGTGTTTGCCTGTTTTGCACATCATCCAAGACGAAGAAGAAGAAGTGAGTGTGAGTGTGTGAGGAGCAGAGCAGAGACGTTGACACACACACACACACACACACACACACACACACACACACACACACACACACACACACACACACACAAACACACCACCACAGACACGCATACCCACACAGATGGCGCAGGTGAAGCACTTCAGCGTGTTCAATGACACGTTTGGGCTGAGGGAAGACAATGAGGAGGAGAAGATCATGTACTTCTTCCCGCCACAGGCCACCATCAACGAGCAGATGAAGAGCATAGGCTTGTCCATGGCCTTTATCAACTTTGCACGGTGCGGATGTGTGTGTGTGTGTGTGTGTGTGTGTGTGTGTGTGTGTGTGTGTGTGTGTGTGTGTGTGTGTGTGTGTGTGTGTGTGTGTGTGTGTGTGTGTGTGTGTGTGTGTGTGTGTGTGGTGTTTAAATGCGCACGCTTCACTTGTTTATACATGTGTGTGTGTGTCTGACTCCAATGACTGATGCAAACATGGGCATCGCATCATCATGTGATGGATCCCATGCAGTGGTCACCACATTAAGCTTTCCATCACCACTCCTCATTCATCCTACGCATGCGTGTTTGCAATCACAGACCCTTCAGCCCGGACAAGCCAGCTGAAGTCGTGCACACGAAGCAAACCCGTCTCGTGTTCCTCAGCCCCGAACCCCACTTCTGGCTGGCCATGGTGTGTGAAGATGTGTATGTGCGTGTGCGTGTGCATGTGTGTGTATGTGTGTGTATGTGGGTGTGTGTAAGTCCAACAACACTGCCGGAAAGTGCTCACCTCCTCATTTGTGCATACATTCCATCGCCTTCAACTCCAACAACACAGACGTTCCTGTTGCCATACCGGGAGGACACGTCGCAGGGCAAGCGCACACTGGAGTTTCTCGAAGACGACGTGCAAGTGAGTGAATGTGTGTGTGTGTGTGCGCGCGTGTGTGTGTGTGCGTGTGTGTGTGTGTGTGTGCGTGTGTGTGTGTGCGTGTGTGTGTTACCTTGAGCGTGAATACGTGTTTGTGTGCATCTTTCTGGACAGACAGACACACACACGCACACACGCACACGCTTCCCTTTGTGTTCCTCACGGTTGGATTGCTCACCATCACTGCAATGCGTCCCTGTTTCAGGACACGGCCCTGCAAATGCAACTGCAGCAGGCATACGACATGTTCAAGGTAAGGTTGCTGCGAGACCCTGTGGCGATTGAATGAAGGCGAAACAGAACACCACCACGACACCAACAACGACCGCATGCATAGAGCGTCGCACCTGCCACTCTTGTGTCCACATGGCCGAGCTCACAGCTCTCTCTGTGTGTGTGTGTGTGTGTGTGCGTGTGTGTGTGTGTACGTGTGTGTGTGTGTGCGTGTGCGTGTGTGTGTGCGTGTGTGTGTGTGTGTTTGTTGGCCTGCAGCTGTTCCACGGTCCGATGCAGGCGCTGCTTGACAGCCGCGACCGCCAGGGCCTCATGACCATCCTCGACACGTTTTTCACGGAGTACTTTGCAAACCTGCGGCTCAACGACCTGGGCGTCGTTGACGCTTTCCACGGTGCGGCGGATGCGATTTTAATTGTGTGTGTGTGTGTGTGTGTGTGTGTGTGTGTGTGTGTGTGTGTGTGTGTGTGTGTGTGTGTGTGTGTGTGTGTGTGTGTGTGTGTGTGTGTGTGTGTGTGTGTGTGTGTGCCCTTACCATGGCATGATTCGTCGACACCTTCGCCTCTGCCCTTTGACGCCACATTTTCACCACAGGAATGCAATTCCTTCCCCTCGACAAGCGCGCATATCTGCGATCACAGTCGTTCATCAACGCATTGGAGATTGCGTTCCCGTACGTGACCAGCATCCCTTGTACCACTGCCGTAGCAACCACCACCACACGCCGCCATCACCACACGCAGCCATCATCACACGCAGCCACCACCACTGTGTGATTCCCTCTCGGTATCTCTCCGTCCTGTTCCAACCTCATCATTGCACGTCATGCCATGCACATGACCATTCACATTCACCTCCCCTGCTGCACGTACACACCGCTCCCTTCAGTGCTGTGAAGCGAACGCTGCTGCTGTACAACCGCCATCTTGTCTGGTCCGGGCTCTCCCAACAAGACACCCGTCTCCTCTACTGGTACCTCGTCGGTAAGCAGTGGGCTGTGTCGTGCGTGGTGTGCATGTGTGTGTGCATGTGTAGTGTGGATATGTGTATGTGTGTGTGTTTATGTATATGTGTGTGCATGTGAATATGTGTATGTGTACGTGTGCATTTCTACTCCAACGTTGCCAGTGCCTTCCTAACTTCCCATTCCATTCCATCGTGCGTATCAGGTGGATTTCTTCGCCGCGCCGCAACATCGCCAACAGCGACCGTCACGTGAGCGCTTCTCAAAACTCAAGCACACACGTGTTCACTCACCACCATGTTTCACCTCACGTTCCTGATTCACATCGCTGTCCTCAACTCAATCCACCACCACCACGACCAGTGGCGGGACGCTGACGTGTCTGCTTGGACCGGAGGACTTCCACGATGACGATTCGCCCGTGCACGCGCCGGCCTGCCACGTCGCCATCAACGGGAACAGCGCAACCTACCGCCTCATCGTGTACCAGGTG